CTTTCATTAAAAAAGCGATTTATCAGTTGGAACGGTTCCCTCGTGAGCATTGCTGTACACGTTCGAGTTTTTTGCTTAAACGATCTGTTCGAAGAAAAAGAGACAATTATATACTCCAAAGATGACTTCTTAAATCTTTAAATATTATTTCTCTCCTGTAGCACCATCATATTGATTAGACTGTATTCTCTACCAATCTATTTTCAACTGTACCATTATAATGTTCTCATATTCATTTAATTTTTCGAGTTTGAATTATGTACAAGCAATGCTTGTATTTGCAACTTGCTTGACCCTCGACTTTATGTTCAAATCTCTCTGTATAAAATAACTATTACGTTACCAGTCAATCCATACTAATATCAAATATATATAGAAGGGTGGATGTGAGTTTGACTGTAAGTGTATGTGTAGATGTCGTAGGGGATGCGTCTGTCGGTGTCCTTATTGGTGGTCATGTTGATGAGAACGTTGATGTCTGTTGAGCGCAGTGTTTCCTGTTAACTATTCAGACAATTACACTTATACCTACCTATTCACGACTAAACCCAAGTCCAAACACTGCAACACACTCATACCAAACATCATACATCGCACTCCCATCCGAATCCCAACACCCCAAATACATTCAAACCTATCAACGGCTACACTCAAACATTACATCAACACACCCATATACAGCCACATCCCACACCCACATCCTAGCCGGTGTTTTCTTCTAAATGCATGGTACCGATGTGTCTATACATGTACAGTTACTATCTTTCTAAAAATGATTCGGTGAGGAAATTTTTGACAAAAAAGTCTTATACAGATTTTCCTCGTTAAATCAAAACCTAGAATATTTAATTGAAATGTGTTGGGGCTGATGGTCAACTTCTTCATGTCAATCGATGCTGATCGCTAATAGTGACTGATGCACTGGTTTTTTGATGAAGGGGGTCAAGAACAGCGTTCCACTTCTAGTTGTGATGCCGCATAAAATATTTGTGGTTAGTTCTATTCGATAATGAGCTGCAGTTCCAGAGACGCATTCAACGTTGCAGAGTTACATTAAAATAGGGCGTTCAGTAATTCTATTTCATATGAAGAGAATTGGTCATAAGCATTTCATGTTGATAAGAAGATTTGATCATCAGCATGTACTTAGACTAATGAGAGTTGATGAATTTATTACAATTCAAAGTTCTAAACTAAAACTGATGCGTGTCGATATATGATTAATAACAACTAAACCATTTTTCTTTATAAAATCTCATGATAAAAGAAAGGGAGGTAAGAAAACTATTTTGTCAGGACAAATTGTTTCGGCAGACAATTGATCAAGAAGATTCATATTAATAATAGCACTATTACTACTTCAATATAAGAATTATATCCACTTCGTTTTTATTTTAAGCTCTATACTATCATAGTAATCATCAAGCATTTACTTACGTTTTAGGACATATATTATTTCATAAATCTTCAAAACGAGTTAATCAACTGCTTTAATATTTATGCGAAAAGTGGGAATTTAAACTTTAGAATTGTCGGTATGCTTTTAGAAGTAGTCGAAACCTCTTCTAAAGCTGTGTACATGACTTTTTTTTCGGCTTGCGCTAATAACGTAACCACAAGAAGTTTTTTTCTTATTGTTGACTTCGCGACGATTTAATCTATTTTATAAATCATAATATGCTATCCTATACTGACTGGTTTTTGCAAATCATAATGCGTTTTGAGTAGAGAAGAATATTGCACATAAGTAACTGGAAAACAAATCTTTAAGAAACAGAGGATGAATGCCTTTCTGCTGACAGTGTCCATATTCTTCTTGTTAGTATCACGAACAGAGTATTACGAAAGGAAAAGAAATGATTCATTTTTTCTATTGTTGAATAGAAAGAGAAAGTACTGATAATAATTTTTCTTTAATAATGTTCTATAGGAAAACAAATCTAAAATATTTTAAACAATTGTTTCGAACTCGTAACAATCGTACTTTCATCAACGTTCAACAGCAAATACAAATCGTATGTGATGAATCGCTTTGGTGATATCGAAGTTTCATTTAAACGGCTTCCGCCTGTTTATGGTTATCGCAGTGCAGAACTTGTTTCAATTGAAAAAGCACTAGAACCTATCGAGCCTCAAATTGACGAACTACCTTATTACATAAAGATAGCTAAACGTAATTGTCATTTTCCGTCAGAACATGGACTATCACGTGATCAATCAGCTGCTGTTTATATCTATACAATGGAATGGGGTGATACTACTTTGTATCGTGTATTAAATAAAGCACTACGATCTGAAAATCGACAAGCGTTGAAGATATGGTTTCCATATTTAAAATTATTTGATACGGCATTGGATAAGTTACCTACTGTTAAAGAGGCGGTATGGAGAGGTGTGCCTCTTGATATTGGCAAAAACTTCACCAGAAACCAAATTGTGACGTGGTGGAGTATTAGTTCATGTTCGTCATCAGTCAAAATTATTGAAAATTTTATTGGCAACGGCAAAAATGCAACTCTTTTCTTAATTGAAGCTGTTAATGGAAAAAAAATTTCTGGATATACAGAACATGAATACGAAGATGAAGTTATCTTACGAATGGGCACCGAATTTCGTGTAAAAGCCAATACATTAAATCATCCAAATGGCTCACACGTCGTACATTTAATTCAAATCGATGCTAACAATGCTCAACCATTAGCATCGGCTATGAATGAAATGCAACTGGCTGCAGCAAAACTACCAATTAAAACTACTTCTGGTAAGTTATTTATACTTTTTCTTAAGAGAATAACGTTTTGTATGATACAAATATGTGAAACAATGGAAAAATGTCTGAATACTGATTAGTTTATATATGATAAAGGCAGAAATTAGATAATTGTATAAAAATATTTAATCGATAAAGAGATAGTTATAATAATGAAATTTCGACACATACAAAAGAATGCTTGATTTTTTTGAATGAAAACTTTTTCACGAATTATTTTCATCAAGAAAATAGTATTTAGTAGAACTTAACCGTTTTAGCAGCTCCAAGTGATTCCATTCAACCTGTGGATCCGACATCGAACTGTCTGAGAAAATCACGTTGTTCATCAAAACCTAGTCGAATTAGGTCTGGGTTTTCGTCAAAAAGAAATCATTTCAAATCTAGTAATTCTATTATGTCGAACTTCTCGAAATCTTTCTCTTTAAAACAATTTGACGACACTTGAATGAGGGTTAAGAGAATTCTGTTGATTACTACTCTCAGTCTTTCACCTATATACTCATTCTCGCCCGTCCAATACTTAAGCTCTTCGGATTCCACTGGTTTCTTAAGTTGTCTAAGTTCCATGAATCCTTTCACTTTAAAAAATTTTCGTATTGTGGCAAACTCCGACAATAGGATGTATCAAAAAATCTTGCAAAACTTCTAGAGTTTTATCAAATTGAAATTCAGTATCCGTAACTTTGCAATATGCTCAAAGTTCTTCAGCTAATAATGTCATCGAAAACTCCAAAAGACTTTCAATTGTCGATAACAACACACTCTTATTTGTAAACTCTCATGAGTCTTCTGAAATGTTATTACTTGTAATGTTTAAAAGGTCCTGAGACCATGCTGGAAATCACATAGACATCAAAGGTTTAGAAATCATGTTGTCTTTTTGTACTTCAGTTTCTTACTATCGTTGATTTCCCTACAAGATATTGCACATAGGTCACGGCCACTCCTAGTAGAGTTTTGTTCACGTGATCTCACAAATTGAGTCATTGTTCTTACAGTAGATATATGTATCTGAGTTAGGAATAAACTGAACGCTTCAGTTTGAATGGATGATTCATTCTGAAGATATAAGTGTTGCAAATAATTATTAGGTACTCGGCTACATTTGGGGTACTTTGTAGACTTATACTTTTCAGTAAATGATTATTTTCTAAAGAACGATAAAAGTAATAGCAGCGATTGTTTTTTCCATAGCTATTAGCCACCATGGGCTATTTTTTTATAGTACTGAAAGTGACTTATCACTAAAAAGTAATCTATCGTGATTTTTCATATTCATGTTCAATCGTATAAAAATTTTGGACTAAGGTGTTTTCTCAGTATGACCTTTCCTTTGATTCACATAAATCAAACTTTTTGAGAAAAAGCTTTCTATTTCCATAAATCTTACTTTTCAATCAAAAAGAACCACGAGACTATGTTTAATATGTCCTAGTGTATTATTTGCTCTACGGAGTCTTCTGTTACGAGAGATTGTGTAATATAAATTTTTGTACGTTAAGACTCGAATATCATCGTCACATGTTAAAGAGATAATATTAAGTTGGTTTATAGTAGTTACATTTAAGATACAAGATAGAATACAGAAAGGATAAAGACAAAATGAATTCGAGTAAATCAGTGAGATTTAAAATATTTTGCTTCGGAAATAGTGTGCCCGATAAAAATTGAATAATCATCAAAACTATGAGGTATATGTATGGGAGATAGTATTATTGATGTATTGTAAGGAGATAATGTTCTAAAACAGTTTTCGACTATTCACCTCTGACATTGGACGGAATCATTGATGGTTGAGTAAGTATTAACAAAAAAGAACCTTTTATTCTACTTAAAACTTTGAATTAAATTTGAGCACATTGAAAAGTTCTCTAACGAAACTGAATGAATTATTTTAGTAAGTTCGAACCTAGAGAAATCTTCGCTCTATTCAGTTCGAAAGAAAACTGATTCTACTTTCTGTTTTTTTTTATTCTAAAACTCACTTTTTGCCATGCACCATCCTATGTTTCGTCTACTTCTGTCTAATCTTATGACAAAATAGCACACTTTATCAACTTGCTGTGCTTATTCCAAAACAGGCTCGATCTAACCTCTATAAAAATTTAGACAATGCCGGTCTTCTATGACACTGTTTTCAATAGAATAAACGATTATTTTTATTACTAAGATTTAGTTGAAAATCAATGATTAAATTCTTTGTCAGAGGTCTAATTTCACTCGACAAGACTGAATATGTTTCAAACGCAATCTATTCACCACTCTTCGTGAATCACGAGATACGAAAAAAAATGATCGAAGATTGTTTTAGAACATCATTTCGTTACAATATATCAATGATATTATCTCTCATTTATACAACCCGTATTTTTGATGCTCACTCAATTTTTATTGGGCAAACTCATATTTTGTTTTCGTTCGAGATGCTTTCCTTACTTTCTCCTGATGAACTTGACGATAAAAATGAAAGTTATATAACGAAAAGACAAAAACAATCCTATTAATTCTATCTATATATGTCTATAGATGTGATCAACCTATTAAAAAAAAATCAAAGATGATATGGTCTAAAATATTAGTTAAAAGGTACATGTTCTGAAATAAGAGACTTTTTAGATCATTTTCTCGATTATGTTGATCTAATGAATTTCAATTCAAAATATCAATTCAAACTAGAATTTCCAGCCATTTCGTTTTATGAAACATTGCTTCATACGAAATACAGACGAAAAACATAGCATTAAGATACGACAAAAATATGAGACAAAAAATGATAGAAATCTTTCTCAAAACAAAAAAATTGAACCAAAAATTTTGTTTCAAACGAATGTAAATGTATCAAAATTAGGTTATCATCATTTTGTACTCATAAGCATATAGTCCGTTCTGTATTATTGCATTATTTCCATGTTAGTGAAATAAAAAATCACCAATATGAGAGAACTACAAGTTTCATCAACAGTGAAGAAAGTTAAATATTTTTGATATTTTAATATGATAAAAAAAGCGACTTTACTTTTTTTATGAGAGAATAACCAAAGTGTATCTATGATGACATATTCCGTGTAGAAACAATTTTACAGCTATGTGACTATGTACTAATGAAATATAATTACCAAATACTTTCTTTAATTTTTCGGAAGGAAAAATAATAATAAAATCATATCTTTAGTATTAAAAAATTAAGAAAATATTCAACTTCTTTCTATAACAATTAAAATGTC